TAATTCACGAGAGAAAATTCATTACTTATAACCTCTTCCGACAGGCACTATTTATAATTTTATATGTCATCAATTCTAATACGTGTATTGTATTGTATGTATTATATGTTATATATGTAGAATATTTCTGATTTTTCACAAGTGTTCTATTACCTGACATATAAGATTATATATAGAATTTGGTTCTGAATTCTCTGTTTCGCGAATTATAGATCGATTAAAATTCTATGTACAAGTTCTATAATTTATTTATTAAGTTAAAATGTTCCAATTAAAAATATGATCAGCTGTATGAAGACTGTAAAGCGCAATGGTAATTATGTGCAGGGAATCGAAAGAAGCTGTCATTCGTCCTGGAGTTCCGGCAGAAAAGGAAGGAAAGTGCGTGTGGTCGTATCGAATAGCCGTTCTCGTGCGATAATCTAACGGATATAAACGTAAGTACGTAACAAAATACTGACGCTCGCGTCCGAGAGGAGCTGATAATCGGATAAGTTTCGCGTTCCCAACTCCCGCGTCTTCCTCGCGATGTCTACTCTTCGAAAAGTTATTCAGTACTTTTCAAGCAACGATGGAGAGTTGCGTACAAATCTATTTTTTTTTTTTTTTTTTTTTCGAAAAACTACGATCGAAAGATAAAAATTTGGTGCGCTTCTATATATCAATTTTTTACGCGCGATGACAAATCAACTGTCAAAGCGCGCAAAAATGTTGCTATCAAAAATAAGAGATAAATCTCTGAATATAAACGCGAAATGGATCTCTATTAATAATACAGGAGACATAATTCCGGTAGGACTTTGCGGCGAAAAAGACGCGAACAAACGAAAGAAACGGCGAGAAGAAGAAGCGAGATTTTCGAGAGCGAGTGTCGATATCTCGCCGTAACGCGACATTTCACTCAGCCTCGAGTGTTTGTCTTGCAATTAGGTCTAGATTTGTGTTTGGCCTCTTCACGCCCGCCTACTCAATTTAGCCGTGACACGCGCCGCCATCGAAACGGCACTCTCGTCGTTTCGTCGTTTCGCGGCCACTTGGTAACGACGAATATACAGCACGTGTCCGCGCCACGTGTCACCCTTAACCTGACGCCTAATTGAGTGATTGGAATCGTAGCGAATTGACAAGCGCCCATCGGCGGAAATCCTGGCTTCTATATACCGGCAATATATTTCACTTAAAATTCAAAAACATTGAATTTATCACAATTTTGATATTCCCGAAATGATGTTGAAATCGTCAAGGCATTTGTAGAGTCATAGATCTCTCCGCTTGAATTTCTTGCATAATTATCGTTCGATTTTCCAACATTTCACGAAAGCTTCTTTCTATCAGGACAATGTATTTTTTGTTCGTAATTCTTCTACATTATGCCTGACGGCTCCGAGAAGCGCATGTTTCGCGAGCCCGGGATCAAAACCACTTGTTTCGCCGGCACCCTTCGATTGACAATCGGCAGAAGGAAATCATGGACAACGGTGTCTTTATTCATGCGCCACGCCACCGCGAACGAGCAGGAGGAAGTTAAGTGGACGGGCAATTTCTCTGCAACAACAAATAGAGTAGCTCGGATGGGAAAAGGGCGGAGGCCATGTGACGCGATTCCCACGTATTCCGCTGCATGCCGCACGAGTCCTGGGGAGAGATCCTACATTTTCGCGCCCCTTCCTCGGCGAGGTTCCCTGCCCCGAAGCTATCGCTCTTTCTCGCCGACCGCTAGAAAAGGGGAAGAGAACCCCCGCCGCCCTTTGCACGGCATTGCATAACAAAATAAACATGGACGCGTATCAAACGACACGAAATCGCCCTTTTCGTCCACGCGTCGTCATTCACGAACATCGCCGCGTGAATTAATTCGTCGAAAGGGGCCCTATACCTTTTCAGTAGCCTCGCAACCTAATTATCGATTCCAGCGCGCGCGAGGGTTGAAATGCGACAGAGATTAAAACACTTGGATGTCCGCGGGGAAATTGTATATCTGTGAGAAGAAGAATAAAAGCTCCTCCCAAACACCGTCATACGATATACATACATATAGTATATATATGTCCCATGAATCGCAAAAATAGCGAGGATACGCGAGATCAGAGGGGCAAATGGCGGCTTCGTGGCTATGAATCGAGGCGAGTTTGCTTCACAAACGGATGATAAAAGCAAAGTCTCTCCGACGCGACGCGACGCGGCACGAGAGCCGTCGCGCTCTGTCACTCTCCCGCAACGTTCTTTCTCTCCTCTCTGTTTCTATCTCCATCCCTATCGTGCCGTTCTCCAACCTCGTGCGGCATCATCGCGCGTCGTTCCTCTCTCGTTCGGCGGCTTTTCGTGTAGCGCGGATACGCCTACAACGGATAGAGGCAGCCGCTGGACGTAGGGTACGTAGGGACCCAACGGACAGATCCGTGTTTCCATGGAAACCCACCTATCTGCGTCGGTTGGACCTATACTGCCTGCTGCCACCCTGATAAGCGGCTTACTCTCATGGTTCTCTCCACTCTTCTTCGCCGAAGCATCCCCCGATCCCCTCCAACCACTCCATCTCCTCGACACTCTGCCCCCGGCACCCTGTGTCCCTCGTCGCCGGACCCTCTTTCGAACTGCGGGTGAAAGAGAGTGGAGAGAGAGAGAGAGAGAGAGAGAGAGAGAACGATGCTGCTTTTCGCCGAATCGTGCTGCTAAAGGAAACTAACGCGAAAGCACACTCTCTTCGTCGTTCTCTTCCTACCGTGGCACACTGGAAAATTTATGCAGTCAATTACCGACCCGCGCGATCTCGGGAGTAGAATCGCGGACACAGAGGAAATTCTTCCCCCGAGGTTGCCCGAATTGTCTTTCTCTCTGTTTTGCGCCCCATAGTCGATTCTCTGTTTTTCCGTTCGCCAGGTGTTCGCCGGGAAACGTCGGCTTTTCTTTGCGGGTATAGGACATTCCAGACTTCGTTTATGTTAACCACAAGACGCATATCTAATACGAACCGTGGCTACAACTTTTCCAGGAATTTCTTTCTTTTCGCCCACTTTATAAACTGCTTTGCACCGAGTCGCAAATATTCCGAAGCGAACAAAGTATTTCCTCAATCACATTGTGACACAAGAGTGACATATTTTTGTCGGTCGTGTTATTGGATTGTTTTCCAACAATTATATTTTTTTATATGTTTATCTAGGGAATGATAGCGTGCGGTGGAAGCGCTTGTTTCTCAACTCGCGACAATATGTAATTATAGTTAGGAAGCCCCGACAGATTGTATGCTCGACATTCGTATGGCTTCAATCGATGCATCGATTTGCATGGGAATCAATAACGACGGTATGCGAGGAACGTTAAATATTCTTACAACGGTAGATAGCATTGTTGAAAAACTGCATTAAAATTTTGACGTTGACAAATTAAATATACGATCCTATGCTAATATTCTGTAAATATTTGAAAAAGAATGGCAGACTCTAAAAGCGTGGGATGATCGCAATGAGAGCACAAAAGAAAAAAGGGTATTTCTAGATATAATAATGAAAGAGAAAAAAAACGAAGAATAACAAGAAAATGACTAGAAAAGATATTTTCAGAGATGGCTTTATAGGCGTACCGGATTTCCTATTCTTTACTATTATTAGCGAGGGAAGCTTGTTTACTGATTTTAATTTTGAACTGTCCTCCTTGCAACAGATTTTTCTTTTATATCAAATACATGGTATCAAATTGCTTGCAATCTCTATGCCAAACTTTTATTGGTTATAGAATAGTTACTTCATATTTTATAGTATATATAAAAGTGAGTCTATACTAAAAATAAATAAAGAATAGAATATCAAATTCTAAAACATCTCACAAAAAGAAAAGCTAGAAATTTATTTTACAAATCAAAATTCACTATTTATTTACAGCAATAAAGCTAAAAAATACACATATTCGATATTACCGAGTAAAATAAAATTATATTAATCAAAATCTATTACACACATACACAAGTGCAAGTTTAAATTAGAAAATGAGAAGATTAAAGTTCTTAGTAAAGTTATAATCTCCGAATTTAAAAGCTTGTCCTTTATTTTATTAATTTAATCGACTCTATTGATCGCACCATCGAAAATCTCATTCGTCTTTTTTCTGTGTTTCGCGATATTTTATAATTCGGGTTACAGGTATAAACCAAGAACGATACCACTGTCGCCCCCTCACGATTACACTCTTTTATGAGTGTACGTCAATATATCGAAAATTGTGCAAACTTATTGAAAAAAATCATCCTCCAGATATAGATTATTAAAATAATCTCCCTAAGTCAGTTGTCAATAATTGAATTGTTATCTCCAAATAGGAATGTATAAGCAACTACATATATTTTCTCACTTTTACCATGTCAAATTATATATGACATGCTTTAAGAGAAAGACGTTCGTTTATTTAAATGAATTATTCCAATTGATTCACTTATTTTTAATCTCACGTTCGGCAATAATTGGTTAGTTATTGTTCGAATGTCTATGATTTGCGTTTATTCCAATACCAAACTCCCAATGCAATATTCCATCTTTAAAACGTCAAATATGACATGCTTTTAATACATCGTACTTATAAATTTATTTTACTATAATTGGCTTGCCCAAAAAGATTAATGCCCTTTGTTCGTTAACATCGGTTCGATAAAATCTTTGATTATACATATATTGTTCCAATATTCATAATGTGCGCTGGTTCCAATAAATATATATACAGAATAATATAGCATGCAGCACCAACCCTTTCAATTCCTATATACAATATATTATCAAATCTCATGCTGTAAATTTTTATAGTGCAATGATGACCTATACTGGTATAATCTTAATGAATTCAATGTTTGATGCTGTAGAAAAGTAATATTATATATATTTTATTTATATCGATATTGCTTATTTTCCCTGCGAAACTCTAGAATATTATCGCTCGATTAATCGAACTAATTGCTGCAACATCTCAATATGAATTCATTAAGAGAAACAAAAGGTGAGAAAAACATTTACCTTGCGGAAACGGCAGTGCGTGATCGAGCGGATGCGGATGCGGATGACCGTGCGTCGCGAGCGCGAAGGGCGACGGCAAACCGGGATGTGGCGTACCCGGGTGCGGATGAGAATGCGGATGTGGATGTGTGCCGACCCCCATCGCGGGATGTCCGTGTGGGTGGTATTGATGAGGGTTTCCGGTCGAGGCGCAGGTTGTGCCTGACGCCTTCAGGTAACCCGCCATGTATCCCGCGAGGCAAGCCAGTTCACCCGCCACCGCGGCACTATTATCACGTTCCCTTATCGCGTGACCTCCTCCGCCCTGCTCGGGTTGCCACCAGCTGTTCTCCCCCCGATGAGCGGCGACGCCGTTCGCGTGTAATGATGGCCGCCTCACGCCGTCTTCCACTATCGGTGCCGGTTCTTCCGGTACCGACTCGCTGTCGCACCGACACTCCTCCACCTGTAAGGTGCGAATCCAAGTTTAGTCCAGTTTCACGCTCCTGATTTTATTGTTAATCAATTAATAATTAGATTCACTTTTTTCATAATTCAATAACTTTGAAAAATAAAATATTCTGACAAAATTCTTTGCTTTTACTTTTAAATATTTTTTTGAGATTTTTATGAAGTATTTTAGTAGAAATATTTTTGGAAAATTAAAAAATTTTAGAATATATTATAGAAAATTGTACTAGGTATTATTCAAGATTTTAGGATTACACAAAATCGCAATTTAAAAAACGAGAAACTCTGAAAATTAATCTATAATTTTAGAAGTCTTTAGGAAGCTTCGTTAGACATTCTAATCATTTTTTCTTAGATTGTGAAAAAATTAAATTCTGTTATCATGTTATACATATGAGAGATATGTGTGATATGTTCTCTTTGAATATATTTGAAATTATCTGAACAGTGTGACCTAGTAACGACATAAACAATAGTTTTATGTATACATCAATTTATTCAATGTTTATACTATGTTATTTATCAGCAATTTATCAATTATTTATATGATATCGAATTCGATCAATTATATATTAACAACAAAACGTCAATGTTTTGAACGAGCGATGTGTCACTCGTTTTTAAACCGTCAGATTTCGTCGTTGTTTCAATATATAGTGAAAAATTATTAGGGGAAAAAGAGTTTGAGAAAACAACTCAGCAATTATCGGTTCACGTAATATTCAACTGCTAACAATAGAAAAATCGTTACGAAAACTATGCATTGTTTTTAGAAGGGTATTGTAAGTTTAAAAGAATAATATTGAATTCGATATTTTATAAATTTTTTGAACATCTAGATATATCTTCTATAAATAAAAGACGACAAAATTGGACCCGATACAAAAATAGTCGGCCTGTGAATATAATTAACGAACGGCATACACAAAATATTTATAACATGATTTATCATCTAACTCTAGCATTATTACGTCATGGAAATCCAATTTACACTTTTATAATACCTTTTAATTAAGAGACATAGTCGTATCTTGTTCGTTAATCATTTATTTCTCTTTAGTAAGATTATAATTACTGTTCACTGGTTTACGCAATCTGATATTGATCATTATAAAAACTTGGCACCAATCTCTTCATAAAAATATCGCACTATAACATACACTTATCGAGAATCGCTTAGAATTCATGACTATATGCGAATATGTAATCACTTTATCCGTAGTCGAGATTGCTGTCTTGAAAACACGTAGTCTACTGTCAGCCGATTCTTTTGTGTCGTGACTATGTCTTTCGTCTTTCTACCTGACATTACATAGTTTTCTACAGGTCATCGAAAAACGAGAGTGGGGATGGATGCAATGGGGGAAGTTCGAGAACGAATGACTGTTCATTTCAGGCCCTTTTGGAGCAAAAGAGAGCCCGAACAGAATTCGCCAAATCCGCACAGATATTCAAAATTCAGCGTGAATTATTTGATTATAAAAATTATATTCGCTCGAAACGCAGAGAAACTGTTGCAATAAAAGTATATAAATTGTTCATGCTATAATTATCGTTTCGCATAAATTCGGATAAAATAAAAGGAAAGTAAAAATACAAGCCCACATGCACGCGGCATAAATATATACCTATATATTTCCTCGGCTTTGCTCGGTTCATTCAATTTCGTTTCACTTGGGAATGCACGGAATGGACGAGAACAGTTGTGCGCATTTCGTCGGAGTCAAGGTATCGACGGCGCGGCGTCACGTGTTGAGCGGAAGTAGCCGCACGCGATGGGAAGTGTGCCGAAAAGTCGGCTTAGCCGCGTGAAACTTAACTCGGCGCTAAACGGTTAAATAAACTTTGAGACGGGTTTTTATTCGGATGGAAAAGGGGGCTAGCTCTCTCCGCGGCGCGAGGAGAGACGAGACGAGACGAGGCTGATGCACCACGTAGGAAGGTATGTTTACACGGGGGCATTATGGCGGATAATGTTTGTTATAGGCGTCTATGCCGTGCGCAGCCGGGAGAGGCGAGACTATCCGACGTTAAAAGGCCAGCTTGGTCGATCCGCTTACGGCGGATGAGGCTTAAATTGAGTGAGAGATAGTGAACTCTCTCTTGCGTGCAACGAGCACGAATAACGCGCGTGCTGCTGCACCCGATGCTCTGTCGCATGTCGTACGTGTCGTTTATAATCTAAGCGACAACCGCGCGATAATTCCGCGGATATTCCGCGTTAAGCAAGAGAGTGTTGCGACGCGCGATAAGGAATCCCATTCGGAGTCATATCTCCCTTCTGCTCGCTTCTGCTCGTATATATGCGAGGTACATCCGTTGTTTGGCCGGAAATTATTTCTACCCTCGCGTTCTTGTCTTCTATGGCTTGTAAGCTAGATGGTTAATGGCGACGTGGGAAATGCTTCGACATATATGTATGTACCTGCAAAAGTGATTATCGATTCTGAATTAAAATCGATCAGCGATCTATTCAATCATTTATACAATGAATTTCACCAAGATAATTATCGTCCCGTTACTGCTCTGATAATTAATATTTCAGGGGAAAATTCCATAAATACACGCCGTGTCATGCGACTTGGAATAATATATTTCATTGTCACTGTCATATTTACATGATTAACGAAACGAAATCTACAACCCTTTTCCTCCTTTTTGCCTCGTCATTTTTTCCCTCTATTATTCCTTGTTCGATGTTAAAGGAGTACTGTAGAAGATCATCAATAACTTTCGTGTCCCTCATGTCCCAAGGGGGCACTTTCCCGGTTAGAAAAAGTATAAGGGCAAATATTTTGCCTTCTTTTCTGCCTATAATTATTCGCAAGAAAGAAATTAGAAATGCACCTTCCTGTCTGTCCTTTTTACCCTCTATCTTCCTCGCTGAATCCAGCCTGTGTTAGACATTTTTAAAATTCCATCATTTAAATAACATCAACGCCACGTCCATCGATCGTCGAAAAATCGATCGTGATCTTATATGATTGAACGGCGGTCGATGTTGTATTTCGCTGATTTATCGCGGTGTTACTTCCGCGAAAATCGTACTAGCGACGTTAAACACCTCAAAGCTCGCGAAAGCCGATTAGCGTCGTCGCCGTCGGGACGATTTCGTTGAAATGCGAATACCGGTGGAAAAACTTTAACATCCCCTCTACGGAAGGGGTGAAGGTCCGAGCGCGATTGTTCAACGATTAAACGACATCGAGGATGATACCGCATTCCTTGAAAACGCCCGTGTCGCGTTGCGTTCGTTTATAGGTCAATCCTCTCGTGCTGCAAAAGACGATCGTAGTAATCTATGTCACCACATAGCCCCAGATATTTCCAAAGTAATCCTCTCACGTTAATTGGATTGAAAGATGCTAACAGCTGATTTCAGCACAATCTTCCTCTCTCTCGAAATAGTTGAAACAATATTCTCCCTTTCTCTTTCTCTCTCTCTCTCTCTCTCTTTTCCTTTCTCTTTGTATATGTTGTGTATCGTTAAAAATCGATCAGCAATTAATTTCTGAGTAAGACTTTAAAGAAGATTAATGAACTCAACTATGACTTCAATCAATATTCTAGAATTAATACATTCATACATTATTCAATTATAATTATATAAATAAATATACATATATCTACGTTATATTTCGACACTATATGTGAAATATATAAAACTTGGCCACATGACGAATTGATGATAAAAAATTTAATGTGTATTGCATTTCGTAAAAGAGCGCTATAAAATAGTTTTGTTTAAAAATATTTATCGATGCCAATTCTCTTCTCTTTTTACAAGCATTCATACTATTAATTATTTAGAGAAAAGATACGCTTTTTCAATTATAATTATATAAATAATGGCCACATGACGAATTGATGATAAAAAATTTAATGTATATTGCATTTCGTAAAAGAGCGCTATAAAATAATTTTGTTTAAAAATATTTATCGATGCCAATTCTCTTCTCTTTTTACAAGCATTCATACTATTAATTATTTAGAGAAAAGATACGCTTTTTCAATTATAATTATATAAATAATGGCCACATGACGAATTGATGATAAAAAATTTAATGTATATTGCATTTCGTAAAAGAGCGCTATAAAATAATTTTGTTTAAAAATATTTATCGATGCCAATTCTCTTCTCTTTTTACAAGCATTCATACTATTAATTATTTAGAGAAAAGATACGCTTTTTAAATATCGAAATCTGATAAATGCTGGCGCACAGAACATTACGTCTGTACATGTGTACATTTTGACGCTTCGAAAGCATATCGAAAGTTAATTAATTCTAGGATTAAAGGGGTTTGCTCGAGTGATAAAAATCACATTTGACTCGGCAAGTGATCTCCGTTTTATACCCGATTAGCTGCCGCTGTTGCATGGCACGAGCGTAACTCGTTACCACGCTGGAAGGGGTCCGATAAATTGAGAGGAAAAAGAAGTTAACACAGAAACTCCTTGCGAACCGGTTCGAGGGAAGTCAGGCCGGAGAGAGTCGGCAGCGAAACGATCGCGAAAAGTCGCGAGATCTTCGATTTGCACGCCGTAAATCGAATCATTATTAAAGCGTTCCCGTACGTCGCTTCCGCTGTCCTCGGATTCATCGTTGAATGTGTAATCTCCGCGTGTATACGTCTAATGATATGGTGAATAAATATTTTATATACATGCTGTGACATGAGGAAAAAGGAGAAGTAAATGAAAAATTTCGAATAAAATTTATCTGCAATATGTGCAAGTGTTAATATCAAAATTATATTCTTTGATTTTAGGATTGGACTGTTTTTTCTTTTTTTTTTTTTTATATAAAATTATTGGCTATATTAGAAATAATATTCTGAAATTTAGGTCTTTCTATAGCGAAAAATTCAATATTTTTATCTAATATAATCATGCGAATAACATGACACGTGTTGTATATTATAAAAAAATATCTCTAAAACACAGATGAGAAATTATTAAAAAGAGAAGAGAGAGAAATATATTCAGAAAATA